TTCCGCTTCACTACACTTCCGTACCCTTCATATCCTCACCACAACTTACTTCACTTCACTTCACTTAACGTCTGCTCACTGCATTTTCGGATGATTAAGGGAATTAGCCTTTTCTACTGAATCAGTCCATTATCATCTTTGATCGCAGGAAAATTTTCCCTTTGCCTTTACGTCTTTTTACGCACTTGTAGAACTCAGTCAAGCACTTTCCTTCGTTTTTAGTATAAAGCTTATACAAGGTGACACAGAAAAACGGGAACTTCTGAGGTGCGTAGTGGCAGCCATGTACAGTTGGCAGCACTACGGAAGGGGGACTGTGAGCTGTAAACAATCACGCCATTCAGTAATAATGGAGGAGTGGAACGGTAGACAGCGTACTTTCGCGATAAAAATGTTTTACAAAACCGACGATAGTTTGGAAGGTGCGCAGAGGGAGTTCCGTCCCTTTTTCAAATTAGGGCGTCATGGTCGCGTTCCTTCAAAACACGCGATAAAAACTTGGGTTCAAAACTTTGAAGAGACTGGATCTGCTCGAAAAAGAAACCGACAGGACGACAGGAAGTTTTAGTCTTACAGAGCCCACGGAGTTCAGTTCGTAAGCAAGCGGCTGCGGTCAGAGTGTCCCGAGAGAGCGTTCGCCGAATTCTCCGTTTTGATTTAAATTTTCATCCGTACAAGCTGCAAATTGTGCAACAACTGAAGGAGAACGATCACCAGTTGCGATTACAATTCTGTCAGCAAATTATGACAAACATAAACGAGGACAATGAATTTCTGGACAAGCTGTGGATGTCAGATGAGGCCCATTTCCATCTTACGGGTTATGTGAACAAGCAGAACTATCGTTACTGGGGAGACAGCAACCCTAAAGAAGTTCGTGAACGCCCTTTACACGCCAGCAAGGTCACAGTATGGTGTGCAGTTTCGTCACACGGGGTCATCGGACCTTACTTTTTCAAAAATGAAGACCGGATCACAGTGACTGTCACTTCGGATCGGTATGTTGAGATGTTGCAAACTTTTGTTGCACCTGCATTGAACAATTTCCCACAACTTCACGAAACCTGGTTTCAGCAGGATGGTGCGACATCGCACACTGCAAGGCAATCAATTGCAGCTGTGCGAGAATTGTTTGGTAATCGTGTCATCTCAAGATTCGGTGACATTCCTTGGCCCCCAAGATCACCGGATTTATCAGTTTGTGATTTTTTCTTGTGGGGCTACCTCAAGAGTCGGGTCTACACGACTCGGCCAAGGACACTGGATGAATTGAAACAAAGAATTTAAAAAGAAATTCGTGGTATCCCAGCTGAGATGTTGCAGCGATCAATGGGGAACCTGAACAACAGATTAGGAGAATGTATACGTAGAGAAGGACGCCATCTGCAGAACGTAATTTTCAGAAATTGATAATCTGGATTGTTGTTTCTTAAAAGGCAAGTTGTAGTGGTTCAATTACTGTCAATAAAATTTTTTTTGTTGTTGCATGTATTCTATTTTTATTTGTTTGCCAAAAGTTCCCTTTTCTGTGTATATGTCTCCTGTGAATTTTGGGGGACAAATAGCAAATACTTCGATAGTCGTTTCATTTCCTCTCGGCGCTGCTGTCCTAATTTTCTTCTATTGTATTCCTGTCTGACCTTTAACTTTTTCACTCTTTTATCGTAGTATTCAGGGACTGACCTATTAGTCTCCTGCCTATAGTATCCAAACTGCTTGAGAGACTCCTTCTAAACAAAATTAAAGCTTCAGTACCATTGTCAACCATAATTCCTAATCACCAATTTGGATTTCGGGAAGGGCACGCAACAGTGCAACAATGCCACAGAATAGTGTATTATATCATGGAAGCTATGGACGACAGAAAGATTTGTAGTGCAGCATTTTTAGATATGCAACAAGTGTTCGACAAGGTCTGGAACAAATGCCTCTTCTACAAAATCAAGAAAATATTACAGAGTCAAATATTCTTGCTTAACGGAAAGACACTTCCAAATTAGAATAAATAATGATGTATTCAACGTCCATAAGATCAAATCCGGAGTGCCGCTGGGAAGCGTCTTAGGCCCGCTCCTCTATTTGCTCAACACCGCTGACCTACCAACTACAGATAACACTGTTTTGACCACTTTTGCAGATAATACAGTGATACTCTCAGCAAATCAAGATCTTCTGATAGCCTCTGTAGACTTATAGAGACACATAAATCTTCTACAGCGGTAGTTCCAAAAATGTCGCAGAAAAACTAATGATGACAAATCAGCACAAATTACTTTCACCACTCGACGAATTGGCTGCCCGCAAGTAACAATCAACAATTCTATTATACCAACCAAATCCGAAGTAAAATATCTAGGACTTCACCTAGATCACAAACTAGCGTGGCAAACATACATGAAAATTAAACGACAACAATTAACGTTAAAAACGAGACGGATGAACTGGCTTATTGGAAAGCATTCACAGCTGTCTCTGGAAAATAAAGTCCTATTATATAAAGCAATTATTAAACCCATTTTGACCTATGGAATTGAGCTGTGGGGGTGCGCTAAACCATCCAATACCAAAATACAATAAAAGTTTCAATCGAAAACCTTACGAGGTATAACAGGAACACCAAGGTACGTATTAAATAAAACCATCCACGAAGATCTCGACATACCCTTCATAACGGATGAGATCAAAAAACAAGCTAACAAATACCAAAACCGGATTAGAGGGCATGAGAACCAGCTAATCGATGAACTATCGAACCCACACGCTAATGCAAGAAGATTGAAGGAAAAGTGTCCAGAAGACTTAAGAAATTAAACGGATGAGAACTGCCGCTGGGCAGTTACCGCCTTCAAGACATAAGAAGATATATCACATTGACTTGTTATTTCCTTTACGGTTAAGTAGATTGTGAATTGGCAAAAATTATAATAATAAAAGAAATTCGGGGTCTGAATTTTCTTCTCAGTATTTTGTATGGAATAAATCTTTCGAGGCCCTCGAGTGTTACGTTCTTGATATTATTCCATGTCTCCTCAACACGTCTGCCAATATTTGCTCATATTGCCTATTTATCAGTTGGACCGATTATGTGAGAAATGAAGAAGTGTTAATTAGAGTCAGTGAGCAGAGGAATATCCTACACGAAATAAGAAAACGGAAGGCTAATTGGATTGGTCATATCTTACGCGGTAAATGCCTTCTAAAAGAAGTTATTGAAGGAAAGATAGAGGGGCGGATAGAAGTGACCAGAAGACGAAGAAGAAGACGTAAGAAGATGCTGGATGACCTTGGGGACAGAAGAGGATATTTTCATTTGAAGGAGAAAGCTCTAGATCGCATCAAGTGCAGGAACTGTTTTAGAAGAGACTATGGACCTGTCGTCTTGACGGATTACTGATGAATGAATTGCGTATTTATGCCGGAGGAAAGTTTGCAGCCCTGAAACGTTTGTTTGATGCTACACCGGCACTAGCCTTTCTACTTGAGGTCGACAGCAATTTCCTCCCCATTCCACTTCTAATAATACCCCGCAATGGTGACTGATCCCCTGTATGTGCTGCAAGAGGTGAACGAACTTTCCGGACGGACTAAATATGCAGCCAGCAATACATCCCCTCAGGTGGGACCATCCACTACCTGCGTGTACCCATTTTCCCATACCAATCTATTTACAAATGCCCGACTTCCGCTGGTGCATTCCGCGTTACCGCGACAAATAACTTCGCGTAGGTCAGTGATGTAGCAAATATTATTCTCCTTCGCGTTTACACTTATAATGTCACAATTAATCCTTCTGCTATAGTCGTTTCTCGACTACACTCGGCGAATGCTAGACTTCAGCTCTCTTCTATGGCGACTCTCAAGACTCTCTCTCACACAGCTCTATTCAATTCTGTCGCGGCGGATGCATTAACCCCCTTATAAATCCGCGGCCGTTGCTACGCAGTGAACCTTCCATCTCTGGGGAAATACGTGTGTTGATTCTGCAATTCCTACGCAACGGCCCGCTGTTATTGCATTACCATGGAAATATCTACTCCAAACACGTTACAGTATGTATTTTTGTGTGTATGTTTGTACGAGTATATATCTGTAAGGATGGGCCATAGTCATTTTGCCCTTGAACCGCGACCATCACTGATCTATTGTGCTTCCCCTTTGATTAACCCTTTATTTATCCTACACTTTTGATGTAATGTAGGACCCTATTTATGGGACGTCATAATAATCACTTGCATGTGATGAAATCTTAAATAAGCTATGGCTTCAATCACATAGGATGTGTGTGGCTGATTCAACATCTTCTAGGCACCTTAAACAAGTGGGATCATCTGTCAATCCCAGTTTGAAAAGGTGTCCTTTAAAGTGACAGTGTCCTGTAAATAGTCTTGTCACCCATCTTGATTGGTCTCTGATTAGCTTCAACAGATTATTCGTTCCTCTGGCAGAGGGCCATAGTATAAATCCCTTTGCCGCCGCGTTCAGGTTACAAATAGCGTAGGACAAGTTTAAATCTCCTGAAATGATGCTACGCTTTGTAGCAAATTTCGGCTCACAGATGGCGGTGAGGTTGTCAGCCTTACGCGCCGGCCGCCCTTCACATACAGGAAGATTCCTGGTACTCATTTCTGTTAGAGGTTGAGTCGACCCCAGGGCCATAGTGCGGCTGGAAGGATTAGATCAACTGAAAATTCCAAAGACTTCATCGGGAATCGAAGCCGCGACCTTTCGGTTTGTAGCATAGTGCCTCAGCCAACTACGCTACCGCGTCCCCGCATATGAGAAAACAAAATTTATACCCGAATTGGGGTCACACAGTTTATTTGCCCGGAACCTTCTCCTTCATGAATCTGTGACTGTAGTATGAGAGTTCCAAGGCTCAATGTGTGACACTGGACGCAAAAATCACGTGTGTTCAGTTGCGGAAGGTTGCCCCGCCCTGAGCAACAGTGTCGCCGGGTGGTCATGGCGAATAAAAGACACGGGGAAAGGAAGTTCACACTTTCTGTGCAGTGCTGAAGTTCTGCTGCTGCAGACATGCTGCCACAACCGGCCTTGCTCATGCTCGTGCTCGTGACGTCAGCGCTAGCTTCCCCACCTCACATCATCTTCATTGTCGCAGATGACATGGTGAGTTCACACAGGTTACAGGCTTCACAGTGCGTCACGTGGAGAAGAAAACCCACAAGGAGACACCGACCGAGCTTTGAGTGTACGATGTAAGTGCATAATCACAACAGGTAAACTACCTTATTATATTAATAAAAGTGTTAAAAAGGGGTTACAGGCTTTAAGGGGGTGTAGTACTCACTTAAATGAGCAAAAAGTTCCTGTCAACATATGTGTATGTCCAGAAACCAGTGCCTGCTAACATATGGGTGATGTTTGTGTGCTCTATGTGGTTCCCAACATTTCAGCACGACTTTCAGCTCTTCTACTCACAGCGGTGCGCACTCTATAGAATATTTCCGGTTTTCATTGAATCTCCTCACAGACATTCTGTACCCGTTGCTGCATTATCTCTAAGTCACTGTTCGGAGCTGAATATAACCAAAGAATTTACGTGTCCCCACCGTCAAATATTCAGCGGATTGAAGTCAGGAAATAATGCAGGCCAGTTGATGGGGCCTCTGCGTCGTATCATGCATAAACCGATGATGTTGACCTTGAAGAAGAGACATACGTATGTGTCAAGTAGTAAATCATTCAACAAAAAAACTATGGTACACTGCACCCATTGGTCTGTTATGTAAGCCCTAATTGTTGATCACTTAAGGTGACCACCAAGACATTGACGGGAAGACAGTGTTGCCACGGTGATGTGGGGATTATCATCCACTCAGACACGGGTATTATTACATGTAGATGTACTGTCTCTTGTGAACCCCACCTCATCAGTAAACATGATATTAGCTACAAACTGTGTGTTTGCAATGCATTTGCGGGAAACCACTGACAAAACACCACCCTTGGACGATGATCATGAGGAATGAGTGCTTGCACTCGCTGGATGTGGTATGGTTAAAGTGATTGCCCATGTAGAATTTTGCAGACAAGGGAAACACCGATAACTTCAGCTGCTGCAATTCCTCGCACACTGGTTCCAGAATCTTCTGCCGTTGTTCTCAATATTCGAATTTCTCGAAAATTCGCAGGCACTGATTTTTGGGCAAATGTTGACAAGGAATTTTTACTCATTTAAGTGAGTACTATACCACTTAAAGCCTGTAGTACTTTTGAACACTCTGTATAATGCAGCACTGTTATCCTGCCAGCTGTCCAGACTCGTGAGAAGTTCATATAAGGAGCGATTTCTGTCTGCTTGCAGTTTAGTTTTTCGAACATTGCTCGATGGGTGGGCTAAACTGATGGAAGTCTTATTATCTGAGGTTCTCACAGCCGTTGCTATGAAGAGTTCTATCTTCTGGGATTTAACGCCGTCATTCTGGAGGAACATGTCACCTACATCTCCAGAGTCGAGGAATAAACAATCAACAAACCAGCGTGAAGCAGGCAGCAATCAGAGCGTGGCATTTGCTCACAGCCCACACGGCATATCGACAAATATACGAACCAGACAACCAAGGAAATTGGGTTCTGTTTCCGACAGGGGCGAAAGATCTTTCTTTTGTCCACAGAGTCCATATTGTAGAGCGAACCTTTCCATTTATCTCCATCTATTTCAGAGGTTGATAATACGTGGAGTTATACCTCCTTTACCCCTTAAGCTTTCATAGCTTAATACTAATTAAGCATAAGGCCAATTTCCACTTTCTCCTATACATAAGAGGGAAAGTCAGTAAATAGACAACAAATGGGTATGAAACGTAAAACATTTGATATTCGAACCTAGAGAAAACATTTATTTCTCGATATATCCTTCACCAACACTGATACACTTGTCCCTTCGCTTTACCCTCAAGAAGAGCATTAATTGCGACCGTAGTGAGTGTTGGCAGGCAGAACCACACTAATGGAATGACAACAGGAAGACTGTTCGCTCCCATGCAATATACAACATAACATACAAAATAGTACTACCATAGTAGCCCAAACTGTTATGAAGAAGTCATCACGTTGAAGGAAGACCCCATATTATATATACAATGCATATGTCATACATTATACGCAACGACAAAAGAAGACAGAGGAACTTGAACTTTTTAATTTTAAATTTTAACAAATGGAATAATAGGCCGATAATTTGCTTTCAGATATACTAAAATTTACAATTAAGTTTTATGCTAATTGGAATTTTATTTTTAAACGATATATATATTTTTTATAAGATTTAACGATTAATATAAGCACAATAGATCATTGAAGGTCGCAGTGCGGGGGCCGGTTTTTACGGCGCAACCCTTACATACACGTACATACATACATAACGATTAATATTATAACACAAATCGAACGAGAAACAAACACTAATACAGTAGTACTGATGTGTTTATTGTGGACTTGTGTTGACTGATACTTCAAGAATACCATATACAAATATAATGGGTCGCACTTTGAACCGAGATATCCAGTGCGTAGCGGTGGAGCTGTTAAAACAAATGCAGCACAGGATTTGAGGTTCTCATAGAGGCGACTATGAAGACTACTCTCTAATGGGATGTGACTCCGTGTAGTCCGGTAAAGGGAGATACTAACAAAAATCTGTACGGTCTAGGAATAAACAAGACAAGCGGAACGACTGTCTACCGCCTACGCCTTGCTGGTTATTTGCTTGTTTCATTTAGACTCTGAACATGGAGGCAGATCATTCATCCGAAACATCGACGAACTTCTACAGCATTACACGGAGTTACATCCCAGGAGGTCGTGCTGTACCACAGGTTGTTAGTCGCCGGCTTTACACCGCGGAAGCCTAGGTTCGATCACAGGTGAAGTCGTGTGGGGTTTTGGGTGGACAAAGTGGTATTGAGGATGCTCCATAATCATCTATCACCTGGGGCTGCTAAATAGCACTATTAGTGACCGGCGTACCAAGTAAACTCAGTCTCACCCCATCCCATGAAATTAAAAAGAAACATCCCAGGAGGTAATATTCTTTATGGGAACCTCAAATCCATCATAAGAAAAGCAGTTTTCTGTTCATAAGCTTCATAAAAATGACCATACGTAGAATATAAGGAAAATGTAACTAGCAGACCATGAATTTATTGAAATGTTTAAATTTCAGGGTTGGAATGACGTGAGTTTCCACGGCTCAGACCAGATCCCGACTCCTAATATAGACGCTCTGGGCTATAATGGCGTCATTCTCAACAGCCACTATGTTCAACCCCTCTGTTCGCCCACAAGAGCTGCACTAATGACTGGTTTATACCCCATACACACAGGTAAATTATCATATTTACGTCATTGTGATTCGAGATCCCTCTATGAATGAACAGCATTTACAGGATGTGCTCATGTCACGCCATTCCAGGCTATCGAAAGACAAAAGCGCATCACACTGTAAGCCAGCGATTCTCGAGTGCGGGGCAACCTGCAATTTCTCGTGCGGCTAGTAGTTTCAATCATAACTGATAAGTTAATTTTTTAAAGCCTTTTCATAATCTTGAGACGAATTTTCTATCTTTTGTGAATTATTATTTCTACGCTTGTATTTTACGAGGGAGAATCAGTAAATATGTCAAAAGAAGAAGTGAAACAGCTGTGACGGATGCAATAGGCTTCTCGTGCTGGACACAGCCCAGCTTGATGAGGGTCTAGGTAAGTGACGCGCATGTGCAAGTTCAGAGGCTGCTATTAGTACTAAAAATGGCGATCCGCGTGTAACACCGAAGAGCAGCGTTCTGTTGTGGTTTTTTGAAGGGGGGGGCAAAAGGACTCAGTGCGAAGATATTCATACCGAAGTATTTGTCGTGTAAAGCGGTTCACATGTGGGTCGAGAAACTTGGCAAACGTTTCGCTGATGAAGAATTTGAAGCGGAGGTGCGGAAGTGGCTGAGACAACAGTCAGAAGATTTTTATGCTGTGGTTTTCGAAGCACTGGTAATGCGATGGGTCAAGTGTATTAATGTTGGTTGAGAATGTGTCGAGAAATAAAAGTTTTTCTAGATTCAAATAGCAGATGTTCCACTTTTTATATCAATTTGTCACCTATTCGCTGACTTTCCCTCGTGCCACAACAAATTCAGAGCCAACAGTATATGCTGCTATCTGTGGAGTACTGACCAATGCATATGCTCCCCTTTAGCAAGCCACTGCAAATTGGGGTAGTCATATTGTCTCGCTCCTCACCTTACACGTGAAAAGTGATAAGTTTTGTGGCCACAAAAGATGTTCCTAATTTATAAATGAGGCCGAAGGAGACTCTGGCTCGAGTAACTCTGTTTTAGGATACAAGAGTTATTTTTACTGGAGTTAAATGTACGACAAATTATATTTAGTCTCTATTGTTGTACAAATTCACGCATCTTGTTTTTGTAATGTAAATAAACAGCAGAGCCAGAAAACGGAGCAGTTTGTTTCATACACACCAACTTGTAGGTCTATAGGCCTATGCATATTCTTTTTGAAGTTAGAAGTGCCCAGCCGGTGAACAAATTCCGCGCCTTGTATGGAAACTGATGGTTCATTACCGCGTTCAGCCACTAGTACATTGGCCCCTGTCCTGAGCCAGATGAATCCATTACGCATCCTCAAGTCATCCTCATCATTTTCTGTTCTTCCTTGACTGCTTAGGAGCCGAAGCAGCATAGCCGGTATAGCGACGGCTATGGGCTGGACGACCAAGGGGTCGGAGTTCGAGTCCCGATAGGGTCAGAATATTTTCTTCTCCAAATCGTCCAAACCTGTTCTGGGGTCCACCCGGCTTCCTCTACAATGGGTACCGGGGCAAAGCTGCCGGGACGTGAAGCTGACCACTCACCTCCAGCTAGTGCCGAGATCAAGAAAATGTGGATCTAAACATCAACTCCCTCATACACCTTCATGGCGTAGTGTTTAATTCGTTAAGCACAGGGGCAACTTTACCTTGCCTTGATGTAGTCGGCTCTGTGGCCTGTTCTCATTCAGAATGAATTCTGGAAGTACAGACTTCACAGACAGTCGGTAGGACTCCTTGGATGGAGGATCAGCCCGGTCACAAGGTCACTACTTACATACGATAACACAAACCCAGGAGAAACGCAGATATTTATGCCTCGAGTGTGATTCGAACTCAGGATCCCAGTGTTTGATTGGACTAAGACATTTAATGATTTAGACATCGCGGCCAATGTGATCGGCGCCTTATATTTTAATTCTTTAATATACATTTTAATATTATTTCACGGCATCGAAGGCGTAGCCTCTGTTGAGGTTGTGGACAACACGTGGTCTTAGAACCACATCGAAGTGTTGAGAATAGTTTGAGGGGCAGGAAAAGGGAACAGTGTTCAGGGTGTGAGCATGACATCCTCTTCAGAGCTTAACGGGCCTTGCTTCGACGTGAGAGGGTTTATGGAAGAAGTCACTGGATCACACTTCGCTGATGAAACTGTTGAACTTGATTTATTGTCCACCATACAACGAGATTTTACAAATTAGTCACTTCAGGTCACAGATACAATTGTTCTGGTACACAACTGTACGCAACAGCCAATGGCTGCAATGAATACACTGACTGTTGCATGTACGCACACATTCTGAATACTGGCATACTGGTGTTGCTGCACTGAACGCTGCACTCTGATGATCAGCTCCGCGCCATCGGAAATCAGTCCTTTAAATACTCTTGGACGGCGTAATATTCCAGAACCTTCTACATCAGGAATTTTCTTGAAGCTTCCACACAGTTCTACAGATTGAAAATGTTCTGAAAGTTTCTTTAACTGGGCTAGTGGGAGGTGTACACGATTCATATGCAGCTCTAGTAGACCTTATCTAAACATTCCTCGCCGTAGATTCTTAGAATAGTTAATGCAAAACTGAGTATAAGTCTCCTTTAGTACAAGATTGGTATTAAGTCCTGAGTATTAATATTTAAGAATTAGGCCAGTAGGTAATGATCGGTTACACTAAGGCCCCCCATACACACACAGTTTGGCCTTCCGATCGACCTTACAGGCAAAACTGTGACAGTTTACCCCGTCCCTTTCCTCCCCATACACCGGCAGGCTTCATGCCACAATCACGGTCTTCCAGCCTATAATGTTGAGTCACACACGTCACGTGCTACGGTCCTGCAGGCAGAACTGACGGACTGACGGGTTTCCCACAGGCCAACAGTCCAAACGATTGGCTGACCGGGCGCACCACACACGTCAGTTTTGCCTTTCAGTCTTCAACTGTGCAGGCCGAACTAGAGGCCAAACTGTGTGTGTATGGCGGCCCTTAGACCGTGCCTCCGAAGTGGCCTTTTCCTTGCAGGTTTCTGTATGAATTTCTTATCTCTCGGATGCATGTTACATGAACTTCTCGTTGTTTGAATTTGATAACTCTAACAATATTGCGTATGTATCATGAACATTTGCAGAAGCTTCTCTGTTCTCATCACTGACTCTCCTCTTCAGCACCGCTCTCTCAAGCGCGTCCATCCGTCTGCACATTCTGTACGAGTATATGAGTGTTTGGGTCACGGTAGCCGAGCGATCTAAGGCACTGTCTTCGCTCGTTCGAAAGCCGGGATCGTGGGTTCGAATCCCACTTAGGGCATGGACGTTTGTGCACGTTTTTCTGTGTTTGTGTACAGGTAGAGGCCTTGCGACGAGCTGATCACTCGCCCAAAGAGTCCTACCATATGCGTAAGATCTAGTAAACCGAAGTGAAACGGAGAGTTTCATGGAGGTAGGCCTAGGCCCAAACGAGGGCTGTAGCGCCAAACTAAAAAAAAAAATGCACTTTTTTCTTTTGACAGTACGTAATAAACTATTTATTTATTTTAATAATTGCATTATTCTTACTGATTTAGACCTTACTGATGTTTTTATGGTATGCATCCTGTTGTGTGTTATTTACGTAAAGGTATAATTTGGGACACTCGCATAAAAAATAATAAAAAAGAAACAAAATAGACACTACTGTGTCAGCATTTGTTTTTATTCGGTTTTAGTGGTATCGCTCCATTTTCCAGAAGAGCTACAGCACAGCAATAACATTCACCACGGGGATCAGCATATATTCGAACATCCCAGTCCATGTATAAACAACCCGAGTGGGATACCCCGACTTCTTGTGCATAATGAGGAGATGCACTACTTGTACTCTTCGCCAAGTATAATTAGAATTATCAAGTCAAGGGGGATTACATTGTAAGGGTATGTAGCACGCATTGGGGGGAAGATAAATGTTCACAGGGTTATGGTAAGGAAGCCAGCTGGAAAGAGCCAAACTAGGAAGACCTAGACGTTGTTGGGATGATATTAAAATGTATCTTAGAAAAGTAAAGTAGGGTCAAGTTGACTGGATTAATCTAGTTCAGGATAAGGACCAGTGGCGGATTCTTTTGAAAAGGAAGGATTCAGCTCCGCGGAGTTAATTAATTAGTTCAAGGAATTTTTTACCTTTTAGTAATATATTCTTGTAAATTTTGTGTTCGATTTTAAACAGCATACAGATTTAATGCGTTTAAATCAATGCTTACAACCTTCGGCAACGCTTTGCTAATTCCTTGTTGCTTTGTATTGATTATTTCACCGTGACTGTGCAGGAAAAGTGCTCAGCCTGTTCCAGCTCTGTCCGAGTGAGCACTTAACGTTTCCTTGTTTCAAAGAACATTCCGTGAGCAAGATAGTGAAACTGCAGCGTGTCACCTTGAGTTGGCTGCTTATTCAGTTTTATCCTTCGCCTCCATTACTAGAGGGAAAAACTGTAACTGTAAAATACTGTAAAACCTGTCTTAAACGGAATCTCAAGGAACCAGAAAACATTTCCGCTGAAGCCGGGTTTCCGTTTATTCAAGGCATACTATAATAAATAAACCAGAACCTAACCGTATTTGAGACAAAACAAAACATCATCATCATTAATTTATTCACACTATAATCATTGAACACATGCAAACATTACACTGAACAGGAAAAAATTGCAGTACTCACTATTTATAATTTTACCAGAACTCCGGCAGAGTTTTTTGCAAGCAGTTTACTCTCTTGGCTGCCTGACTTTCCACAAACACTTTAGCTTGAGAAATTAGAGTAAGCATGTCTGAATCATTCCGTTGCACGGCAAACTCCTGCAGTACCTTTAAACTGTTGGCAGCTTCCTGATAAGTCTTGACTCTACACTTTTCTTCTTCTATCACAATGTCATTTTCCTCTTCCTCCTCCTCTCTTCATTTTCGATTTTCTCTAAAATTCTCAACTAATACATCGATATCCATTGTGTCTGGTTCTGTTTGCGCATCTTTGTCTATGTTGATGTAGTCCTCAGCATTGCAGTTACTGAAAGCAGCTTCTTTCATGCAATGTTGTAAGTCCTTGTGGTCATTCCCATTTTCTACACTAGGAGTAACTTCTACCATAGAAAATCCTGCCTTTTCAAAACACTTTGTCACAGTTTCTGGTAACAACTTCTTTACTGCTTGACTTATCCAAATAACCGCATCTAGAACCGAGACAGATCTTGCAAGTTCAGAGGCGGATGATGTAGAATCTATATTGACGAGCAAAGATTGCATTAATAATTTACGATAGTGGACCTTAACATTCCGAATGATGCCCTGATCCACTGGTTGAGAAACACTAGTGGTGTTTGGAGGGAACCAAGCAAGTCACACGTTGGAAAGTTCGATATGGGGGTGGCATGTTGCGTTATCCAAGAACAACAAAACATGCCGGTTTTGCATTTTCATTCTACCATTGAAGGCCGTTAACCATTCCTCCATGATCTGTGACGTCATCCATGCCTTTTTGTTGGATCTCCACTGAACGGGAAGTTTCTATATGTCCATGTTTCGGAAGCATCGTGGCTTTGCTGCCTTGCCAATCACCAAGGTTTTCTTCATTTCACCTGACATAAAACCACATAAAAACAGTCAATCTTTCTTTGCACAGTTTTTCTCATAAACATTTTTCACCTTTCAGACATAGCGATTTATTCGGAAGCGCGCGGAAGAACAGTCCAGTCTCATCACCGTTCGCTATGTTTTCAGGTTCATATCCCTCGATTATGGATGGCAGTTTAGCTTCCCATTCCTCAATGGTCTCACTATTTACATCATTTGATTCACCACAAAGTTCATTAAAACTATCCGATGTCTTTTGCGAAAACTCTGCAACATCCGTTAGATGCTTTGAATTCAGTCTTCCCCAGTTTTTCAGCGACGTTTTTAGCATATTCCTGTACCATAGGACCCGACAACCGGTGATTTTTCGCCCTCACACTGACAAACAACTCTCACACTATTTCATTAACGTCTTCGTTTGCAGTTTTCTTAAGTTCTCTTTTTATTTTTCCGTTAGCACGTTTCCCACCGCTTCAAAATTTCCGTTTTCTCCTTTAGAATCTCATACACTTGAGTTGTAACGACGTTAAACATCTTCATGATCTGCTTAATAGACAATTTATCTCGCTCACTCGCACGAGTCACTTTTAATCTTGTGTTAAGATCAAGCACAACTCTTGTCTTTGTAGCCATGATGACAACTGCTAGACTAAAGTACAACTGTAGGCCTAGAGCCCTTACTGAATACAATTTCCAGAAGGGGAAAAGAATTCTGCTGAATCTCAGTGCAGGTAGTGCAATACCGTTAGAAGCTTATTTTAAAGAGTTAGGGAAAACAAAATTCTGTAGAATGTATAGGATGCCTAAAATTATTCTGAACGATGCATTCCGGAAGACTGGAAATTTTCCGTATAAAGGATTATTTTGATTTCCGTTGTCCGCGTTAGACAGTTTCCGTTTAATCCAGGTTATTTAACATCTTTTTCAGCCCCAAAGTCAAGGGACCTGAAAAATATTTCCATTTAAGACAGATTTCCGTTTAATAAAGGGTCCATTTAAGGCAGGTTTTACTGTATACTTGTTTTATTTACAATTGCATGTCAAGGAATAGGGCTTACGGCCTATTATAACGAACATTAACTATTTTTATTTTTAAATCAATGACCCATGTGTCCCCTATCTACGTCACACTAATAGTCTTCGCTATACGAAGATTTGCCATTAGGAAATTTCTCTCGTATGAACTTTAATAAGGTAGAGTAAACCCTAAGCCCTTTACTGGCACCTGAAATCAAGGTCGCTTATCTGAAATACTTTCCGAACAAAAACGAAAACTTTTAACGAAAATGGAAACTAACACGTCCTTTTCTACAATAAAAAATTTTAATAACTTATTGTGTGTTTAGCATAATTCGCATAGTGGGGGGTGGAGTCCAGTTGGGTCCACTCGGCACGGCGGGCACTGATTGGCCTACTGTACCTGCCCCGGGCGATTATGATGGAGAATTTGGTGGAATAAAAATTGGCAGGGGAAACCGAAGTACTCAGAGAAAACCTAAACCAGCGCCACTTTGTCCACCACAAATCCCACTTGACCAGACCCGGGTTTGAACCCGGGCCGCCGCGGTGGGAAGTCAGCGACTAACCGCTTGAGCTATTGCGCGTCCTAAAAATCCAGCTCATCGGGATTCGATCCCATGACCTTCCGGCTTGTAGCATAGTGCCTCAACCAACTACGCTACCGCGTGCCTCCTGTCTCCAATGGTTACAGCATACTGAATTGTTTCTTATACTTTTATGTTTCATTTTGTGAATAAAATTAGTGTTTCCTTGTCACGTTTTTCTTTCTGTCGTTTGATTGGTCATTTCTTGAGAACCATAACCCCACAATATAACATTGCGCCAATGGGAAACCCGATTCGAATTACGAAATTCTCTCCAGGAAAGTAACAGTCCACGAGAGTGAGAAATATTTGTGCCATAACCCAGTAATACTGCTGGGCGCTGGTAAGACTACTGGCGCTCTGCTTGCAGTTGGTATTAATTCTGTCAATACGAGTATGTGGATTTGCAGTCAGCTTTTGTCGTTTGCATGGAAAATGCTTAGTTACCGATACGCGAAGCGGATTGTACGGTATTAAATAGCGTTGACATTTGTATTAACAAGCTAAACAACCGAGCAGCTATAAGCCGCTTCGTTATACATTGGTTATAATGCCATTTCGGGATCGAATGCTTATGTGATGTTTTGTCTTAGCGTTTCATTGCCATAAACTGCAAAATAAAAAAGAACACGAGCAAAAATTGAATAAAGCAAACACATGAACACAAAGAAATTCAAGGTAGCTTGGACGTAATAATAATAAAAGAACAAAAAACAAACTCCATGGCCGGTAGTCCGCAAGCGAACTATACCGTCCGAGCGACCGCCGCTTGTCAGCGTAGTTAGTGCCAACTTTTGCGAATAGAGGGTGCCACGTGGTCAGTGCAACGAATCCCCACTGCCGTTAATTTCGAATACCAGACCGGAGCCGCTATTTCCTTGAAATAGCTCCTCAATTATCCTCACGAGGCTGAGTGAACCCCGTTCCAGACCCAGTACTTCTCAGAAAATCTGGTAACTCCGGGAATCGAACCCGGACCTCTGGATCGGTAGCCAGGAACTCTGACCACTAGACCACAGAGGCGGTTGGACGAAATAGCAATAATACTATTATTGTTTGATGATAATTTGTTTTGTTGATGCTGTGTCCCTCTATATACATAAAATGTAAACATAATGGTGAGGTCACCTCGAATGTAAGGGTGTGCGGCATAATCATCATCGTGCAGTAGAAGGGCTCGCCACTCGACGGTTTGGACGTTACCGCTAAACGGATAGAGTAGATAAATTATGGCGTTGCTAACGTTAATTGTTTTGGTTGTTACAAGTAGCGCGTTCATATATTATTGTACACCGATGTCCGTAGACATGCGCATTTGCTCGTGGACTTTGTTAGTTTTACATATTAATAGAGGTGACGTTGACAGTTATTTAAACCCCAAAATATTTCCACCCTAATTTCCGAAATGCTGAATTTTAGTACATGGACTACGAAAAAACTAATACTTAAGTTTTATAGGTATAAAACATATTCTCTTTACTCTGAAGGAAGAGACTGAACCACAAGCCTGTAACTCGTTTTTCGTGTCCTTAAAGGTATGCAGGGCTACCCAATGTTGGCGGCAGAGCCTCGGGGACTGCCCCTCAGGAAGATCCTGCCGCAGTATCTCAAGGATTTAGGATACGTCACTAGAGCAGTCGGGAAGTGGCATCTGGGGTTCTACAGAAAGGAGTTCACACCTACATACCGAGGGTTCGATTCACATCTTGGATACTGGACTGGATCCATAAGCTACTACGACCATATTGTCCAAGATATTGTAAGTTACATCATAAGAAACGAAATGACCCCACGAGAAATACATTTTTTGCAGAGATTTTGGTTTTGATGGCTGGGAAATCTCATATTGCTCTCTTCATGGTTATGTTACGTTGCAGACAGAGTAGGCTAACTCAACAGATGAAGCAGAATTGCATTGCATTCGGGAAATTACTGGTTTAAATCTCGGTAATCCCTGTAATCGGCCGTGGAGACCAATACGGTTGTGAGACATCGAGGCCCCCACTTTTTCTAAAGAATCGGCCAACAAATGAAGGTGAGATTGTGAGTCTTACGCTCCGGCAGCCCTTTACACCCCAGGAAGATTCCTCGAACTAATTTATGTTAGAGGCTGAGTCGACCCCAGGTCCATAGTGGGGCTCGAATTATAGGTCAGTTGAAAAATCCAATGACCCCATCGGGAATCGAACCCGCGACCTTCCGGATTTCAGCATAGTGCCTCAACTAACTACGCCGCCTCGTGCCCCTTGAATGTCGGTAGAAGGATGCCAATTATCCTGACTGAAAATTTTGTGAGTTCTCACAGACCCCCCAGGCAAATTCAAGGATAGTATCTCAAAATAGGCTACGACCGCTCCCATACATAGTGTGTCTAAATCATTATTCATTAAAATATCATAAAATTGCTCTTCATTTTGTTATTACGTACTGATAGAGTTATTAACGTAAACACAGACGCTTAATAGTCCCTTAGATACGAGTAGTAAGCCGGTTTCGACAAGCCTGCTGCCATCCATCTTCAGGGTGGAAGATGGGAGCAGCAGTGTCACACAACTCTCACTGCCAAATATGTATATCACAAGTTATCACAGGAGAAAAAGGCCAATATTCTGGGAGGTCACAGTGTCGATCATTCTAAGCAAGAAATATATATTTACATGTGTCCCATTCCGAGCGGTTTCCGAGATAGAGCTATTTCACTGTACTGTAAGTACACTGTACACTGTACAGAAGAGCAACACGCCATGTCCTTACACGAGTTGCACCAAGACAGAGCTATTTCACTGTACAGACGAGCAAAATGCCATGTCCTCACACAAGTTGCACCTAGATAGAGCTATTTCACTGTAGAATACACTGTACACCGTACAGACGAGCAGCCACCATGTCCTAACACGAGTTGCACCGAGATAGAGCTATTTCACTGTACAGACGAGCAACATGCCATGTCCTCACACGAATTTCACCTAGATAGAGCTATTTCACTGTACAGACGAGCAACATGCCATGTCCTCACACGAGTTGCACCGAGATAGAGCTATTTCACTGTACAGACGAGCAGCACGCCATGTCCTCACACGAATTGCACCGAGATAGAGCTATTTCACTGTACAGAATACTGTACACTGCACAGACGAGCAGCACGCCATGTCCTCACACGAATTGCACCGAGATAGAGCTATTTCACTGTACAGAATACTGTACACTGCACAGACGAGCAGCACGCCATGTCCTCACACGAATTGCACCGAGATAGAGCTATTTCACTGTACAGAACACTGTACACTGCACAGACGAGCAGCACGTCATGTCCTCACACGAGTTGCAAAGTGCATTGACGTTGACGGTGGAGTTCTCGAAAATGTATTATAATACGTAAACGGTACCAACTTTGTCACTTGAACAATTAATACTGGTATTGGAAACAGTACGTAATACCTCTTTCTTGTCAACAATTTTGGAACTGTACAGTGAAATAGCTCTATCTCGGAAACCGTTCGGAATAGGACACATGTACAAGTACACATTTTTGCTTAGAATGGCCGATAGATGGACTTTCATCCTGGGACACTCTGTATATAGGGACTTCCCCTTAAGATTCCAACTTCGGTATCTGCCGAAACGTTGGTAAGCTCTAGACATTTTGTGCGTCGTGTTGCCGAAAGCTGAAATCGTGTACTCGTGTCAGATACGTTGTTTCCATTTTCATCTTGGCGTGTTCGTTTTTGTTCGGAAGGGATTTCGGACGAGCGGATTCTCTTTCGGATGATAAAACAACGCCGAGTGTATGACCTACATTATAAAAGTTCGTGTGAGCGAAATTTCGTAATTCATACCGCCGTGAACCGAGGAATATTTGTAGACGTCGAGAATTGCAGCTGCAGCCTGAAAAAAAAAAGACTGGTATATTTCTCTTCCCTGCACAAGAATATTTTACAGTTTGCTGTAGATGTAAAATACTGTAAAGCTATTTTGCCTGCTGCATGACAGGGACTGGCAAAGATGTGCAGAACGTCACGTCTGGCTAACCAACAGAGATAGCGAGGACCCTAAACACAAAATGAACAATCAGCCAGTGCGCTTTATTCAGTGGTTGAAATGTTATTCCAGAGCCATTACTGGTAAGGATGATCTTTCGCCAATAATGTATATTGTCTTGTGATTTTGACTATAGGCGAGGTTTGGATTGGAAATTGGATGTATTGGACACGTACAATCGTAATTATGGAAAACTGCGACAGCCGCACTGAGCTACACACTCCAAATATCACTGTAACTACAGCACACATAAAGTCTTCTAGGCCTTTACTAGCCGTTGCTTGGTAACGGCCAACAACGACGGACGTTCCCCTTCTTCTGGATTCCCGAACTGTCACCGAACTCAGCTACCAGCTGAGCTCACGACTAACTTAACTCAAAAATCAAAATTATGTTGCGACCGACAGTCAGTAGGCCAATCTTCGTATCTTGGTGTGAAGTCCGCATCTGGGGCCAAAGACCAGAATTTTGTTACTGTTAAGACATTTGCGGGTTCGCTGATACGGGGTGCTCTCTCTGACGAGGGGATGGGTCTGTCGTTTACAATTGCTGCTGGTCCTCGCCAGCGAAGTTATTCTCGAGGCCGAGTCCTGCGGGACTCATGACCATATTTTACTGTCTCAGATTCGAGACTCCCCAAACCTGGAGGGTCAGGTCCCCGTATTTATATCCCCCAGGAACAGGGTGGCCCGGTTATACCCCCAGGCACTGAGTTCCTTTGCGTCGCCCCCTACGACTCACAGGGATAAGGTGGAGATATTCGAACTCGCCAGCTAACTAACTCAGCTGGCTGTTAAATAGCTGCTGGCCCTAGGCAGCACACTGATCCTTGTTTTTTAGTTCCACGTGACTCACGACCATATATTTGAACTACTAGTCCTCGTTGTATAGCCCCAGCACGGACCGCACAGAAGGCATATCTTTCATTATTGCGTGTTTTCTCATCGCCGGAAAAAACAGTGTGTTCCCTAACAACGACTGTGGTACTATCTCCTGCTTACACAGCTGCTACTTGGCACTGGGTTTACATGTCACAATACTTTTTTTCCTGTCGTGATTGTATTCCGGCCTAAATGTTGCACCGGATTATTTAAAGACTCCGGTTTGCCCTATTCACGGGAAAGCCTACGGGTGAATAGGCCACCACTACTTCACAGAGCCGAGCTTCTGTTACCAGAGCTGTCCATAGTTTGCCCACTTGTTGGCTCCATGGCATTTCCCTCCTCAACTGTTTTGCTACGCAGGCAGTTCGTGCTGCCTTGAGAATTCTGCTGCGTGGCTAAAGCTTCTGATTATTAGAAACGTTTTGGGGCTCTATTCGTAAATTCTGCCGCCGTAGGATCGAAGTAGGGTTATTCAGTTCAGTAAATGAAACTTCATTATAAAAAGTTGGGGGCACGCGGTAGCGTAGTTGGTCGATGCACTATGCTACAAGCCGGAAGGTCGTGGCTTCAAATACCGATGAGGTCATTGGATTTTTTCAATTGACCTAATCCTTCCAGCCGCACTATGGCCCTGGGGGCGACTCAGCCTCTAGCAGAAATGAGTACCAGGAATATCCTTGGAATATTCTTGGGGTTAAGAGCGGCCGGCACGTAAGGCTGACAACCTTGATGCCATCTATGAGCCAGTTGTCTAGAAAATGTGGGATCCTCAACATCTCACAACCCTATGGGCCTCCACGGCCCGTTACAGAGATACCTTTTCTTTTACGTTACTATTATAAAAAGTTAGGCTAAAAGCGGACCTATTCACCCAACAAGTTTCATTGATGTATAACAACTGTTGGTACCAATGACAGTCTAGATATAATGGAATTGGTTAAAGCAAGCTTTTAAGCTCACTAAAATTCGGTACAGAATATCTATCTAAACTCTAATGTTAACATCTACCAATGTTTAAAATACTGCCTATTTTAAACTAACCTTAAATCGTCAGATTAAGAACAAAGTGCATCATTCAAATACGTTTTTCTGTACACGCAGTAGCTCTCCACCAACATGCTCTGTTCAGTTCCAGAGAAACACAAGAAATAGCAGTAGCGACCGCCGCGCCACCAGTAGCGCTCACATGAAGGTTTACCCAAACAGTCCTATTGGCCTGCTGGGCTCGTTCAACCGAACTTAACATAAGAGAGGGGATCTGACTACCATAACTTTTGACAACCACTGCCACAAGATTTTCTAAACAAAGTACTATTAGCGTAGTTGGTTGAGGGGCTATGCTACAAGCCGGAAGGTCGTCGGTTCAAGTACCGATGAGGTCATTGGATTTTTTTTCAATTGACTAGTACTAGTGAAATTAAATCCAGGATCGTCATGGCAAAATCTGCATTTAGCAAGAAGAAGAATCTTTTTACCAGCAAATTGGACTTAAATTTGAGGAAGAAACTAGTGAAATGCTGCATTTGGAGCATAGCTCTGTATGGGGCTGAAACATGGACACTTAGGGCAGTAGATCAGAAACATCTGGAAAGTTTCGAAATGTGGTGTTGGAGAAGAATGGAGAAGATCAGTTTGACCGATTATGTGAGAAATGAAGAAGTGTTAATTAGAGTCAGTGAGCAGAGGAATATCCTACACGAAATAAGAAAACGGAAGGCTAATTGGATTGGTCATGTTTTACGCAGAAACTGCCTTCTAAAAGAAGTTATTGAAGGAAAGATAGAAGGGCGGATAGAAGTGACAAGAAGACGATGAAGAAGAGGTAAGAAGATGCTGGATGACCTTGGGGACAGAAGAGGATACTGTCATTTGAAGGAGAAAGCTCTAGATCGCATTAAGTGGAGGAATTGTTTTGGAAGAGAATGTAGACCTGTCGTCTGACAGATTACTGATGATGATGATGACCTAATCCTTCTAGCCCCACTATGGCCCTGGGGTCGACTCAGCCTCTAACAGAAATGAGTACCAGGAATTAATTAAATAATTTTCCTGGGGTGTAAAGCGCGGCCGGCGCGTAAGGCTGACAACCTTACCGCCATCTTTGAGCCAATTGTCTAAATAATGTGGGAGCCTCAACATCTCACAACCCTATGGGCCTTCACGGCCTCGTACAGAGATAGCTTTACTTACTTTCACTGTTTACACATTTCTTGGTTGCTCAGATAATACGGAAGTAATCGCCTCCTACAGAGTGTGAAGGTTAACTGCCGCCTTCACAAAAGCTCCCCACTTGTCCCTATTCTGAGGCAGAAGAATCCCGTGCACATTGTCACGAAACGTTACGATTATACGCTTTCTCATACCTGAAATCTACGTCTTGGTTGGAATGTAAAAGTTTGTGACGATGGTACAGTAGAAAAATATCATGTTTCTGGACATTATCCATCTTCCTGTCTTTATCTAGAAACACCGCCCTCCTTAATTTCCAAAGCACAGCGTTTCGGAGACTGGATTCTGTCTCCGTCTTCGGATAAAACCTACTCAGTTGAGCCCAATTGATAGTACTCGTCCCCATCTCCGGAGTTAGGGACTAGCTCAATCGATTGAACCCAAATGAGTAGGTTTTATCTGAAGAAGGAGACAGAATCCAGTCTCCGAAACGCTGTGCTTTGGAAATTAAGGAGGGCGGTGTTTCTAGATAAAGACAGGAAGATGGATAATGTCCAGAAACATAATATTTGTACTTCTTGTTGTTCCTTAAGTTTATCCCACAACGGACTGTGAATACATTGTTCGTCTGCTACAGGCGATTTGTACCTTACACCAATATTTCTTCCCTAACTTTATCATACAAATTCAGCCAGTTCAATCCTCTTCCTGTGACAACAGTTAATCCATTATATCAGTATTATCTCGAGCCCTATACATTGTTTGATATTTGTTTTATTCGGATGACGTTTCAACCTTTCACTCTGCTACATTCTTCAAGTCATTTATTTGTTTTTATAGTTCCAGATTTGTCATTAATATTGTGACATGTCAGCCTATTTCCAAATAACAGCTGTGTAAACAGACCACAGTAAAACAGTCGTTACTAGGAAACGGCTGTGTGGACACATTGTTTCCTCGGCGACGAGAGAATACGCAATAATGGAAGAGACGTTTTCTGTGCGGTCCATGCGGAGGCTATATAACGAGAACTAGTAGTTCACTTGAGTTATGCTTCACCCGTGTGGAGGCGGTGTCGAATACCTCCACCGTGACCCTGCGAGTCGTAGGAGGCAACGAAAAGGAAAGTCTCAAATCTGAAACAGTAAAATATGGTCGCGAGTCCCAAGGGACTCGGACCCGAGAAAGAATGAGCTGGCAAGGGCCAGCAGCATATACAAAAGGCAGACCCGTCTACTCGTCAGAGAGGGCGCCCCACAGAAACAAGACCGTAACTGTCAAACGGTAATAATTAATATCTGATCATGAGCCCCAGATGGTTCTCGACACCAAGACTTACTGACTGACTGACCGTCAGTCGCAATGTGACTTTGACTTTGACTTGAGTTAGAAGATGTAAGTAAGGCATGATCTGCTCTGTGAAGCCCGTACTGACAGAGGACTTGTGTGTAGTGCAAAAGGAAGAATTTTCAATACCTTGCTACTCCTATATCTGCGATACGCACACTTGATAAAAGGCCAAGCGTATTCATAAGAGACAAACCCATCTTCTCGTCAGGGAAGATGTTACATAAGGACCATTACCGCAAGGGTTCAGTTGAAGAAAAAATCTCTGCTCGTGGGTCTCAAGATGAACTGATTGGCGGTAAACCGCCAGTCGCAAAGTAACTCTGAATTTGACTTTGAGGCGACGGAAATGGAAAACAGTGCCTGAGGGTGTAATTGAGCCACTATGCCGGTGGATATAAATACGGGGTCCTGGCCCTCCAGGTTGGGGGAGTGTCGAATCTGAGACATGGCCGTGAGTCCTGCGGCAATTGGAGCCGAGAATGACTGCGCTGGCAAGGACCAACAGCAATCGTAAACGACAGACCTGTCCTCTCGTTAGAGAGGGCAGAATAGAGCGTACCTATACTCTTCCGTATATTTTAATGCATTAAGTTTCAGCCCTTCGACTTTCGAGTCCCGCAATAGTACCTCTTAGGAACACGAACGTCTCTTGAGGACAAATGCGGTTGTTTCAGAGAACAATGAACTCTCACTGCTTCCTCAAATGAGCAACAAACGTTATGTGATACGAATCATATTGTTGCTTGTATGGCGTGACTATATACGCAGTTTGGATTGGTAATTGAATTTACTGACCACTTGCAAGTCGTAATTACATGTAATTATAACACTCTCGCTAATTCATGGACTCGTCTTCTCACTACAGGACATACTAAGTCTTCTCAGTTTGTTTTCACTAGTTGTTTCCTGCTAACGGATCCTAACAATGTCCTTTGCTTACGTACTTACTGGCTGGCGAATGTCTCACAACTAACAAAAATTCTAGACTTATCCCGCTTATAACCTCTCTGAACGGACCGCGTAGAAAACACCGTTCCTCGTTGTAGTTCAATCGTTGCCACGGGAACATGTTTGAACACCGTTACTCAGCAAAGGCTGCCGTATAGTTGTTTATACTGCAGTTGTTGCATAGCAGCAGCGCGTTGTTTATAGTCATTACTTAGTAACGGGTCTATAGGATACATTACGAATGTATGTTCTTTCTTCTGAACATCGGCAAATCATATCTTATGGTCCCCCTTAGACGGAAGAGCTGTGCTAATTGATTAACAAGTCGGCATTTTCGACTGTGGTGGTTTTAGCGCTATGTGCTTTTAACCCAAGCTGATCTAGTCGGTATGCGGAATGCAAATGATTGTTCGGTAATTTTCATAGAAAGCGAGAGCCAGAAATAACTTGGAACTGAAAATTGTGACAAAAAGTAATTGTACAACATCAGTAACTAGGTCCGCAGTGGGCAGTGTACATGTTTGACTGCGCAGTACCCTGATGGAAACATTTTGAGTGGTCACGATTTCCGGAGGAATATGGACACAGCATGGAACCTGGAAGGGCAATACGCGACCGAAGTGTTCACAGAGGAGGCCCTTAGAATTATCGAGCAACACGACACGGGCAAACCGCTGTTTTTGTACTTGAGCCATCTTGCCGTGCATGCTGGCAACACTGGGAAACTGCTTGAGGCGCCACAAGAAATCATCAACACATTCAGACACATCAAGGAACCCAACAGAAGGACTTACGCCGGTAAGTTTTCGTAGCTAACCAGAACTTTAATTTACTTAGTTGAATACTTTTTTGGTTTATGGATGTTTTACTAACTGCAGATACCATCTGGTAACTTGCCAAGAAGCCTGACTTAGTGTTTACATGAAAGGTAAAGCTATCCCTGTAACAGACCGTGGAGGCCCATAGGGTTGTGAGACGTCGAGACTCCCAGATTATCTAGAAAATCGGCTCACAGATGGCGGTGAGGTGTCAGCCTTACGCGCAAGCCTGATATCTCCACAGAAAGAACAATAGACACGGCATGCAGTCACGTAATAATAATAATAATATCAGCTGATTTCTATAACACTGACACCCTTAACTTGTGACCGCGCGAATTTTTAGGCTTCCCAAAATGGAGGTAGCAACTGACGCTCGATAACTATTCGAGCTCGTGCAGCCTGCTGAGACTGACCTTGGCGGTGTCAAGGTGACACTGGTAGTTGGTGGACGTGACACAGTGCTCATAGCAACTAAACGCCGACGAAATCTCTTACAGTATTTTCATAGCTACGTACTTTCAACAAAATCAGTGAAACGTTATTATCCGCCTGAAATTTATTTCCTTCTTTGTCCTATTTACGTAACCCGACGCAATTAACGAGTTTTGCGATAAATTGCTGAGACTACTAAAATCATCACCTCGGCCTGGTGACCGGTTAAACTGGATGATAAATATCGTTTTCTTCTTCAGTCCGTAAAGGAAGGTGATATGATGACATCTCAAGATAAGCCAGAAAAGAATCCTTACAAACAATTTTCAGTTCATTATTCACTTATTATTTCAACATTCATATTGTCGCGTATTGGGCGTATATCGCGACAAATAACTTCACGCCGTATTTTATATAGCGAATTTTATTTTACATTCGCTCTTACAATCACCCAATTGACAGTTTTAGAACTACTGCTATCTGCAGTATCACAATTAGTACACTCCAAATGCCAGAATACAACTGACTGGTTGCTGGCTAACTCGGAACTAACTCGGANCTTCGGCTCCGCTCGTGACGTCACCGCGCGTTGCGCGTTGCATAGCTACCAGGATGCGGGGTGATTATTCGCCTATTACGCGAGCGCTACGTTACCGCTACGTGCAGCTGGGGAGGTAGGGGTCAACATGTCACAATATTATCTTCTACGGTTTTGTTCCCGCATCTGCTACCATCTCTGTGGTCTGTGGTCAGAGTTCCTGGCTACAAATCCAGAGGTCCGGTTTCGATTCCAGGCGCTACCAAATTTTCTGAGAAGTAGTGGGTCTGGATCAGGGTCCACTCAGCCTTGTGAGGATAATTCAGGAGCTATTTCAAAGAAATAGCGGCTCCGGTCTATAAAACCGAAATTAACGGCCGTGGGGATTCGTTGCATTGACCACGCGACACCGTCTATCCGCTAAAGTTGGCACTAACTTCGCCGACAAGCGGCGGTCGCTCGGTCGGTATAGTTCGCTTGTGGACTGAAACCACGGGGTTTTTTTTTATCTTCATCAATATCATATTCCTCCAACGCTGATTAAAAAATCTTACCGCTTTCAAGAGATCCGTCCCCCGCGTTGGACGAGGGTTTGCAATATAACGTTAATGATCTCAGGCGGAGGAAGCTTTCAGTAGCGTGCTCATGCAGGAAAATGTGAACTGTAATTTGAGGAACAATTTTTGTTGTTCGTGGTGGTTACTTGCGTTTAATGTTCCTCGCTTCTCGGAGTCTGTGGCCTTCAGAACACGCTTCGTGACCGTGGTTACTATGAAAATGTGCCTAAGGGCGTCACTGTCTGAAAGTTCTCCTTGTGGGGAAAGAATGGATAAAAATTTTGGCTTGGATTCGAACCGGCGCATCTAACAGCAAAATTAGAATTCATCCGAATCTTCTCTTTTAAAGGATCTTCTTGTGTTGAAATGTTGGAGAGCCTGGCAGCGGCAGAAGCTTTCTCTCAACTCCACAGCGCCCAGACCGGTTATGGGGCCCACACGGCCTCCTATCCAATGGGTTCCAGGACCCCTTTCCCCGGGGGTAAAGAGGCTGGTGCGTAAAGCTGATCACTCAATTCTATCCAGTGCCGAGGTCAAGAGTGGTGGAGCTATACCTCCACTCCCGAAACGTCCGCATGGCGTGATGCTTAATTAAATAAGCACAGGGACAACTTTACCTCTTTTTCTACCTATTCGCATTTAAGCGCTACCATTAATGCATTCCGACGTACAGATCGTTACGGACAGAGGGGCAGATACAGTATTAATCAAACCGACATTTTATTTGACTTGTGCTGCAGAGATTCTGTCCTATTGGACTATTCAGGGAGTGCTGGCTTTGAATCTCGGTCGGATCACAGACTATCCTGTGCGGGTTTCTGTGATCTTCCTCAGTTGTTCTAGACATGTGCCTAGCATCTTGAATGGGACTACGACCCACATCCCTTCACGTCCTTTCCAATTCACCTCCCTCCATGTCATCTTTGGCTCTACAGCCCTTGTAGACGTGGTCGCAGTCGATAGGACCTTGGCCGGGGATCAGCCCGTCGCAAGGCCGCTGTCTACACACAGGACAACATAAACACAGAATACACACACGCAGACACCCATGCCTCGAGTGGGAGTTGAATCCACGTTCCCAGTGTTCGAGCGGACTGTTCATACGTTACACCGTGCGGCCACTGTGATCGGCCTATCCAAATCATTGAATGTTTTATTACATTGTGAATTATTGACAGTGCCGTTAAATAAACTACAAATTTGCAAAATGTTGGCGTTATCAGTCGCTCATAATAAATCTGATGTTCAGTTTCACCTTCCTGCTAGGCAGGGTATGCTTCCAACACGTTTTATAAGAGATCTCTCATACCATACCAGATGTCTCTGAGTTCCTGCAAATTATGTCAGATGTAAAATGCAGGCTTATATATATATATATATATATATATANTGTTATTGCGTTTCCATGGAAGTATACGCTGTTCTAGCGTTACTATTGAAACGACTGCTGGATTTCGAAGCGATCGGTGGAGAACTTTCGGAGATCTTCGATAAGAGAAAACGAACATTTACATTTTTATTTAAAACTCTTCAGAGTTTGACTATTATAACCTGGTTTCGGACGCAATAGAGGGCACGATCTGTTGTTAGCAACGGCCCACTGTTATTGCGTTTCCATGGATCTTCGATAAGAGAAAACCAACATTTACATTTTTATTTATATAAAATAGATCCTGGGTCTGGTCAAGTGGGATTTGTGGTGGACAAAGTGGCGCTGGGGCGGCTTTTCTCGGAGTACTTCGGTTTCCCTTGCCAATCTTCATTCCTACAAGTTCTCCATTATCATAATCAGCCGGGGCAGGCAACAAAAGGCCAATCAGTGGCCGCCGTGCCGAGTGGACCCATTTGGACTCCACCTCCCCCCCAACTAAGCTAATTAAAAAAATATTACCTCTAGGAATGATATTTAGAATTTCTTCCTTTTTGTTTTGCTCCATATAATTACTCAGTGACTTCTAACAATAAATTTAATTATAAGAATATTCTTGTTGTCCTTTACTGTAAATTTCATTAATAAATATATTGTGGCGTATAAAGCCGTTGCTTAGCGGTGACTCTGTAAACGACGACAGTTTCTGGGCAACATCCTGGTAAACACGTTCCCGTGGCAACGAATACACATGCAGCAATAGTTACTCCTCAAAGTATGCATTCCCGTTGTGTGTTTTAATGTACTTTCAAATGGGGCGCAATACGAACTACACAAATAAACAAAGGTTGGTACGATAGTACCATTATTGGTATAGTTGTTATAGTTAGTTATAGTTTAGTAGTATAGTATAGTTATTGTTATAGTTGTGTTGACTGCCCCATTTGAGATTACGTAAATAACGTACAGTTACTGCTGGAAACGGGATGTTTTTACGTGGTATGTGGCGAGATGACTTAAGCAAGGGACAAAGTCAGTTGCTAAGCAGTTCTACACGGCAGGCTGTGAAGATAGAACTTGAGAGCCTGAAGCTGAAGAATCTGTCCTGTTAGTAGTCGTTACCAGGAAACGGCTGGTGAAGACAGCAAGGTGGAAAAGGCTTAGCGGGTGTTGTGGTTATTTGTGAGTTGTGGAGATTAACGTTAGCGCTGTAATTGTTTATTGTTCCGAGTTGTGTGTATAAGTGGTCAATATATAAATTCACCAATCGAACCCCGGTCTATAATGAGTCATACTACGTGAAAATATAAAAACTTATGTTTAAAATTTTTCGTTGCCTGTTACCGTCGATTTTGAACCAATTGCCATTTGACTTCGCTTAATGCGACCACATCAATGGATTCATTAACCGTATTAGTCGCGATATTCCTGTATATGATTTGACACACAAAAGGGGCATATGACGGTGAGATGAAAGATTTAGAATTACGGAATTTAGGTTTACTATAACAATGAACTATCAGTCGTTACCCCGTCACATGAACGCAAGTTATGTAGTAGATCACGAATGAGAGAGCAGTCTCTGTGTATCACGTCTATTTCGTGAGTACATCTGTACGAGGGTACGTGAAGTACAGTAACAAGAACTGCAAGGGTACCAGAGACAGTCTGGGCACGAGACGCAGAACAGAGGAATCAAATCCCGATTCTTCGGTCGTCCGGCCCCTAGGTTAGTTCCTGCAATGAGTAAACTATCCTGCTCTTTTGTGCTTGTTAAATTTGTATATTCTGCGGCTGTACACGTGACGTGGCATCATAAAAATGTGAGGCCTCTCAAGTCACTCAAAGGTCAATGTCAAGTTTCATGACAAGAGTTACTTCAGACTAGCTTGGAAAACCACACACTGAAATTCCACGCCCATCACGGAAGGAAACAGTTAAAATTATATAAATTAATGGCAACATCAACATTGTTGTGTGGCTCTGAGGCTTCAGACAGGAGGAGGAAAACACGATTCGTGCCGCAGAAATGAGATTTAATAGAACAGATAAAGGATATACAAGGCAATACAGAATAAGAAACGATAGTACGGCGTCTAGATTCTTTGCTCAGCTCTATAAATAGCGGTAACTCCGGCAACATACACAAGACAAATGCAGAACGGTGTTTTCTCTGTGGTCAGTGCCGAGACAGTAAAATATGGTCGCGAATACCAAGGGACTTGGACCCGAGAAAGACTGCGCTGGCAAGGACCAGCAGCATATACAAAAATAGACCCGTCCTCTCACCAGGGAGGGAGCCCCACAAAAAAAAAAAACAAGACCGTAACTGTGAAACAGTAATAAATATCTGGTCATGAGCTCCAGATGGGGCTCGACACCAAGACTTACTGACTGACCATCAGTCGCAATGTGACTTTGACTTTGACAATGAGTTCAGTTGAGTTCTGCACGGGAGGCGGTAAAGATACAACCTGAGTGCGTGAAGCTGAAGAATCTCCACTATTAGAAGCAGCTACCAAGGAACGGCTGGTGAAGACACAGCAGGCTAGAAAAGATGTAGCGAGTGCTGTGGTGATTTGTGAATTGTGGAGATTAGCAGTGGCGCTGTAATTGATTGTAGTTCCCCGTCGTGTGTATAAGTAGTCAGTAAATCCATTGACCAATACAAACCCTGTCTATAGTCACACACACTACGTGATAAATTTGACGAGATCAGAATAAAATGGAGTGGATCTGTACATCCAGTCATTCCCCCGCCCCCCAGCCTTCGGGGCATACTGCTTGATTATTTAAGAGCTGAAACAGCTTTAAAATTTCTGCATAAGATGAAGCAGAGAGAGCATATTGCAAGGATGGAAGAGGATAGGCTATAGTCGCCTCTACCATCAGAAAATCACGTCAAAACATAGCGGTCACAGAGTTTTAAAGAGATTTATCACCAAATATTTCATTTCCATTTTTGTACATTTTTAATTTTTATGTTTTAATCTTTAGTCTCTAATTTTTTAATTTCATTACCTGAATATTTAAAATTTTGACCGAAAAACTCAATTTATGCATTTAAGAACACTCAAGTGCACAATAAGGTTCCTTATTGAAGAATTGGATGCAATTCAACAACTGAGGCTGGTATCATTGTACGCCTGATGATGACTCAGTATAAGTGTCGAAACATGTTGCGTCAATAAAAACAAATGTTGATACGATAGTGTCTATTTTGTTTTAAATATAGAATACTGTTATGTAGACTGCATACTTAAGCTAGAGGTGAGCGGCAGCTTCACCCCCTGGGGATAGAGCCACCTGTAGGAAATGGATAGAAGTTTGGGTGGACCCCAAAGCCGGTCTGGACGATTTTGAGAAGAGAATATTCTTGACCATATCGGGACTCGAACTCCGACCTCTCAGTCGTCCAACCCGTAGCCAGTCGCTATACCGACTACGCTGGAAAGTCGTAGGTTCGAGTCCCGATGAGGTGTGGATTTTTTCCAATTGACCTAATCCTTCCAGCCGCACTATGGCCCTGGGGGTCGACTCAGCCTCTTACAAAAATGAGTACCACGAATCTTCCTGGGGCATAAATGGCGGCCAAAGCTTAAGGCTGACATTACCGCTATCTATGAGCCGATTGTCTAGAGAAGATGTGGGATCCTCGACGTTTTCACGGCCTGTTACAGGGATAGCTGGCCGTATTTACGAAAATTCCACACAATTTCGACCGTTAATCTGTGTGTTACACAAGGGAACCTAAGCTACCGATACCGTCTGTTCTGAAGCTATGGTGTCGCAGATGGACGAGTCTGTGGGCCGAGTGGTGGAGGCGCTACACAACAGGCGAATGCTGAATAATTCCATCATCGTATTTATATCCGATAACGGCGCCCCCAGCGTCGGTGTCTTCCAGAACTGGGGCTCCAACTATCCTCTCAGAGGAGTAAGTACTTTACTTTTATTTTTCTTACCAGTGCCAAGTTAGACGGAAGGGTTAGGCTCTCCTAAGCGGCCTCCGTAGTCTAGAGGTAACGTTCCCAACTCATGACTTGTGGTACGCGGGTTCAAACCCGGCGGAGGTCGTGGAATTTTTAAGGGCGGAAAAATTCAGGGAACAAGTCCTCCGGGAGGGACTTTAAGCCGTGGGTTCCGTGTCGTAGCTTTACGGCACGTAAAAGAACCTNGTGAGTGCCCTTGGTTACAGATCAAGGCCACGCTGTGGGAGGGAGGTGTTCGAGGGGTGGCACTGATATGGAGCCCATTACTACGTCAGCCAAGTCGTGTTTCTGACGAGGTAACTGAATTTTTTTTTAACGTGTAAGAAATCTGATGCCTGATACTGACTTATATTCATGTACATTAAATACAGTGAAGGTAATATATGTATTTTTAGGTTAGGAACTACTTTAATATTTACGTAATGAAAAACATTTGTTATTTATTATTGTCACAGATTTAGGGGTATGTGACTCATAAATCATTCGAGAACAAGACACGCATCACAACACAACCCACCAACCCAAACACACATGCGCATCGAGGGAACTTTAATATAACAACATAAGCAACAAAGAGTTGCAGCAGTTTCGTCGCCCAAAAATTTTAACACCTGATGATGACCACATTGGTCGAAACGTGTAGTGATGTACTTTTAAATTTTTAAAAGTGAATAATTTTTAATAAATATTATAGAACGTAGTGCTGCATGTGAGGCTGCAAAAACTAATTTGGATTAGTGGATTTTTTTAACAATTTTTTTAATTCCCTTACTGGAGGCTGGAGTCCTACTGCGTCCACTCGGCACGGCGGCCACTGACTGGCCTATTGTAGCCTGCCCCGGGTGATTATGATGATGGAGAATTTGGTGGAATGGAGATTCCAGGGGAAACCGAAGTACTCGGAGAAAACCCGCCCCAGCGCCAGTTTGTCCACCACAAATCCCACTTGACCAGACCCGGGATCGAACCCGGGCTGCCGCGGTGGGATGCCAGCGACGAACCGCTTGAGCTATGGTGCGGCCTCTTTAACCACGTACAGGTCGTACTACAAACAACTATAGCACTGTGCAAGAGCTGAGGTTGTCACAGCGGTGACTATGAAGAATGTCTTCTTCTGGTATGCGGTGCAATGTAGCTATCATGTAAACCGACGTTTCGGAAAAACATATTGCCTCCTCCTGAACCCTTGTGGTAATTTTCCTCATGTAACATCCTCTCTGGCGAGAAGATGGGGTTGTCTCTTATGAATATGCTTGGCCTCTCGTCAAGCTTACGTATCGCACATATAGCGTGTTACTTTCTCTTCCGTAATGTCAGCTTGTCCTTTTTATATAGCCGCGATACAAACCGCACAGAAAACACCACTTCCAAAATTTACTCCATTGTTGTTTGTTACAGAGCCGTTACACAGCAATGGCTGTTTCTCTGTACACAGTTCTTGCTTTGAGAAAATATTCCACATTGCTCCCTCCTCAAGGTTGCTCGTCCCAAGTAGCCTATCAATGTCACTTTTCCTTCCTCTTACGCGGGCAGAATTTCCAGGAGTGGCCGATACTCCTACATTACCTGACAATGTCTGTTGTGTGAGAGTAAAAGTAGTATATCTCATGAAAAGGAAAACTTTAAATGAAAACATTTTAAGGATAGGGTTATGAGAAATATATTTGACCTAAGGGAGAGGAAATAGAAAAGGGACAAAGAGAAGACACATACTTAGGGGCTTCATAATTTGTACCTTCATCAACTGTTATTAACTTGATAATCTCAAGGATGACGAGATAGGCAGAATATATTTTATAAAATATTTTGGTCGAAAACCTGAATGGAAGACGTCACTTGGAAAACCTAGAAGTAAATGGCAAGTATTACTGTTTGTCAGTAACTAGACTGTGTAGCGTCATGTGGTGTGATGATGAAACTGGAAAGGATTCTGAAGGACGCTGCTGTGACCTAATGAACTGTAGCATCCAACAATTTGTCTGGAAATCTACGAGGAATTTCAATCAGGGTAGACGATTACCTAATCGAGATTCAAACCGCGTATGTCATGAACACGTACCTACGTCACCGCTATTCCAGTCCTCTCGGTATAAAATACTAAAATGGTTACATAAAGTTACATAAAGATATATGCTGCATATATGTGAATGTGGCCGGACTTTTTTGAAAGCGGTAGTGAGCCTTTCGTTTCCATAAATTGCATTTCATAAAAACTGAATATCCCTCAGTGAGAGAGCATTGCATCAACTTCTTCTGCAACGTGCAAAACACCGGGCCTAGAGACCGAGCATATGACAACGCGCTACTGGCCAAGGACATGGTGAGCCTCAACAAGCGGTGGCAAATAACCACTGAAACTCGACGGAAGAAAAAAATATTTGCCAGTGCTATTTCCTGTACCAGGAATCTCACCCAGCACTGAACCCAGTCCTCAGTGATGAGAATCCAAGATCTAACTGCTGAGTATGGTACAGTCCGTCAATGAGTAGGAGAAATCAAGAAATATGACAAAAATATAATTTTCGAAGTTATGACGGAAATTAGTGTAGTAACAGTTGTACTTTCAAAGTGTGTGATGTGTTACGCACGAATATTTATGTAGGAGCTGCCCCCTAGTCTCCGTCCCTAAAGAACAAAAGCCTTATTTTTCGTTTGTTATTCTGCTCTCAGCTTTCAGAAGCTCATGTCACGGCTTCATCTTCTTTGCAATGGTGTAGAAAGCTGTAGGAAAAAAGGTAAAGCTATCCCTGTAACAGGCCATGGAAGCCCATAAGGTTGTGAGACGTCGAGACTCCCACATTTTCTAAACAAACGGCTTACAGATGGCGGTGAGGTTGTCAGCCTTATGCGAACCGCATAGAAAACACCGTTCCTCTGTTACAGTGCGATTGTTGTTTAGCGGTATTCCACTGTTGCGTGCACAGCCATCGGAACGGACCGTGCAGAAAACACCATTCCTCTGTTGTTGTTTATGGGCCGCTAGCTAGCAACGACCGGCTTTCAGTGAATAAGCCACAATAGAGTTCAGCTGATGCACGTACCTTCCTGACTTCAGGACATGTCCCCATGTCCCATTTATAGATTTCAGGTGATGTACGTACCTTTCTGATTTCAGGACACGTCCCTCAGTTCCATTTTAGATTTCAGCTGATGCATGTACCTTCCTGGCTTCAAGACACGTCTCTCTGTTCCATTTATAGATTTCAGCGGATGCAGGTCCTTTCCTGGAGTCAGGACACGTCCCCCTGTTCCATTTATAGATTTCAGCTGATGCAGGTACCTTTCTGGCTTCAGGACACGTCCCTCTGTTCCATTTATAGATTTCAGCTGATGCAGGTACCTTCCTGGCTTCAGGACACGTCCCTCTGTTCCATTTATAGATTTCAGCTGATGCAGGTACCTTCCTGGCGTCAGAACACGTCCCTCTGTTCCATTTATAGATTTCAGCTGATGCAGGTACCTTCCTGGCTTCAGGACACGTCCCTCTGCGCCATTTATAGAGTTCAGCTGATGCAGGTACCTTCCTGGCTTCAGGACACGTCCCTCTGTTCCATTTATAGATTTCAGCTGATGTAGGTACCTTTCTGACTTCAGGACATGTCCCCATGTCCCAGTTATAGATTTCAGCTGATGCAGGTACCTTCCTGGCTTCAGGACACGTCCCTTTGTCCCAGTTATAGATTTCAGCTGATGCAGGTACCTTCCTGACTTCAGAACATGTCCCACTGTTCCATTTACGTATTCCAGCTGATGCATGTGTCTGACTGGCTTCCAACGCTCTACAGCGCCGCGGGTGGAGACATCACCAAACTTGACAGCAATCTTGATGGAGTAGACCAATGGAGTAGTCTCGTCTATGACGAGAAGTCGCCTCGTCGCCAGGTCCTAGTGAACATCGATGAACGAGAGAAAACTGCAGCCCTCATAATTGGCGACTGGAAACTGGTTGTAGGTGCGTGTCCTTTAAGTACTCTGCTTCCAGATCTTGCTTATTACTGTTAGATGCAGATGCATTTTAGTCTTTGCGATAATGGAATCCGTAATGTGAGCAGTGGGGCTCCAGGCCTTTTGGGGGCCTATTTAATCAGTGAATGCGCACGCTGATTCTTTTGTATCACGCACTAACTGTAAATTTTAAATTATGTAGGAAATTTTGATGCCACCTACTGAAATTACAGCGCCTGCAAAACAAATTTCTCCCTACCATTGTAATTTTCCCAGGGTGTATACCGTTTCGCGATTTGCACATGGCATTCAAATTTCTGTACGTATATGACTACATAAGAAAATTGTGCAGGTAACAAGCAGAAGTCATACGAAATCACGAAAATACAAATGCTCGGAACACTGGACAAGGCGAAGTCCAACATACAAAGTATAAGGGCTTAAATTTGGCGGCGGTCAAGCATACGACCGTGCAAGTGACTAGACAGCCGTTGTAGCGTGAGCTGCTAAGGACAAGGTATGAACTGCTGAACTGAGTCAGAATTTACAGGGACCTTGTATATGTTGTATATATACATTTGTTTTTCCTGTGGCGCTACAGCCCCAATTTGGGCCTAGGCCTACCTCCATGAAACTCTCCGTTTCACTTCGGTTTACTAGATCTTACACAGACGGTAGGACTCCTTGGGCGAGTGATCAGCTCGTCGCAAGGCCTCTACCTGTAGACAAACACAGAAAAACGCACGCAAACATCCATACCCTGAGTGGGATTCGAACCCACGATCCCGGCTTCCGAGCGAGCGAAGACAGTGCACACCTTAGACCGCTCGGCTACAGTGACCGGCTTGTATATATACATACATGTAATAATATGTAAAATGTCAATTGTACATACTGATAACAGACTTATTACTGCTGACAGTGAATCTCTCGTCGGAGAGGGCGCCCCACATGAATAAAACAACAAATGTCTAATAGTAACTAATATCTGGTCATGAGCCCCAAATGGGGCTCGACACCAAAACCGATTGACTGAGCGTCAGTCACAATGTGACTTTAATTTTGACTAAAATTGTAATGTAATTTGCGGTTCCTCGGACTGTAACATGTGAGAGTTATGCTATAGTGTATTTTCATATATTATTAATTCGCCCATGACAGTGGCCGCGCGGTCTAAGGCATTAATTGTCTTCGCTCGCTAGAACGCTGGGATCGTGGGTTTGAATCCCATTCAAGTCACAGATGTCTGTGTGTGCGTTTATTGTGTGTTTATATTGTCCTGTGTTTAGGCAGCGGCATTGCGACGGGCTGATCTCCCGTCCAAGGAGTCGTACCGTCTGTGTAAAAAAGATTACGAAGCAGAAGAAGTGGCCAAGGCCCAACAAAGGACAGTTTAACCATTGAAAAATGAAAATGAATGCATGGATATTATTAATTCACTCTTCGCCACCAACATACGCACATAAAGACAATAAATGGAACCAAAATACAGGCGTTGAGCACATTATGGAACAGAATGTTCAAGATGTCCGCTGTAATCTAATGGTGAAGACGAAGCAGCCCTTCTGGTTAACAGAGCACCACCCCACGAAAAGACACAAGGGTGACGTGGTGGAGATAAAGCTTCACGCATCCTTAAACTCGGCACTAGTTGGAACTTAGTGATCAGCTTCAGGCCCCGGTCGCCTTGTCGCTTAAGAACAAGCTCCGGATTCTCGCTCTAAATGATACAGGTTTCGCTTCGCAACCATTCTACCCTCGAAAGGGGAGAGAAAAATGTCTTGCCCCTCTCAAGAATCGAAACTCGGTTCCTCAGTCTTCCAACCCTTAGTCTGGTCTCTATATAGACTCAGATATCCTACACGATATTCAAATGATATGCTTTACAATTCATTAAACTTGTTTGAGGACTTGGTGCAAATTTCGATGAGGGTTTTATTGTACAGACCTGCATGAAAAAAAAAAAATATATATGTATATGCAGAGTCCAATTAGGAAAAATCAATAATCTGAGAGGTCATAGTATAGGCTATTCTAAGCAAGAAATATACATGTGCATGTATCCTGTTCCGAACTGTTTCCGAGATAGAGCTGTTTCACTGTACACACGAGCAACACGCCATGTCCTCGCACGAGTTGCAAAGTGCAAGGATGTTGACGGTGGAATTTTCGAAACCGCATTTTACTAGGTAAACTGTACCAACTGTCACTTGAACAATAAATACCGGCATTAGAAACAGTACGTAATATCTCTTTCTTATCAACAGTTTTGGAACTGTACACTGAAATAGCTCTATCTCGGAAACCGTTCAGAATGACACATGTACAGATACACTTTTTGCTTAGGATGACCGATTCTATGACCTCTCAGAATACCGAACTTTCCTCCTGGGACACTCTGTATAAGGCCTTAAATAGTTTTGGCTTACAATGACTAAATATCGCAGAATATATAAATGTCCTGATCAGTGTTAGTGCATGATTTGAGGTTTTCACAGCGGTGGTTATGAAAAGTATATCTTCTGGATAGTGCCTGATGCCTGCTTTATGCTGTTTTCTTGCTTGGCTCATTATTCAACTCTGAATTTGGAGGCGATATGTTCCTTCAAAGCGTCGGCTGACTTTCACAGGACTACGCGGTGTTATGTTACAGAAGATATAACTTCAAGTATTGAGGAAAGTCGTAGACATTGAATTAATTTATTTTTGAAGTGGTGTCAGAGACACACACTAATGCAAGAAACGCTAATATCAAATTTTGCCAAAATCAGCTCAGCTACTCTGGAGTTACGGAATGACACAACAAGAGTACTCTCATAGTGTGCATCTTGTTGTGAATCACAAATATATGACAAGGTAAAGTTTCTGTCAACAAAAAAAAAAGTGGTTTTATAATCAATCAATATTCAGATTGAATTTTATTTTCTGCCGCCACATGTCTGGGTCTTCATGGGGCCATCATCGGGCAGTGTTATGATCGTACGGCTAAGTTAGTGAACTCCTAAATATAGACCCGTATTTAGTGCATCAAGTCCATGTTATAAAGTTATGCTTAAGGTAGAATGTAAGGATTACAATATTGACCTTATGGATCCACATTTAGGAGTTCAATAACTTTAGCCATATAATAATTATACTGCCTGATGATGGCCCCATGAAGACCGAGACATGCAGCGTTAAAGCTATCCCTGTAACAGGCCATGGAGGCCCATAGGGTTGTGAGACGTTGAGGGTCCCTCATTTTCTATAGACAATCGGCTCATAGATTGTGGTGAGGTCAGCCTTACGCGCCGGCCGCCCTCTACACCAAAGGAAGAGTCCTGGTACTCATTTCTGTTAGAGGCTGAGTCGACCCTAGAGCCATAGTGCGGCTGGAAGGGTTAGGTCAATTTAAAAATCCAGTGACCTCATAGGGAATCGAACCCACAGCCTTCTGGCTTGTAGCATAGTGGCTCAACCAAGTACGCTACCGCATGCCCCCTGAAACGCGGTACAGCAAAATTCCAGCAGAGTGGCTGCTTGCGCGAAGCTAAGCGAACAGGATGGCCCGTGCCATCCGCCGAGACGGTCGAGCGTGTGCGAAGAACTTTCGTCACGAGCCCTCAGAAGTCAACATATCCCGCGAGCCGGGAATTGCAGATGCCTCAGTCAAATGTCTGGCGCATTCTGCGCAAACGTCTTCGCGCGAAGCGATACCTACCGGCTGCACACTAAAATGTCTCCGAAATGTTGTGTTAGTTAGAATAGCGGACGATGGCCCAAGTCAAAAACCCAGTAGTGCCGAGTGTTGTACACCATCGTCAGAACCCTTTACAGTTTGCAATAAGCAATGTCCAACATGTCATAACATTATATGATCTGTAATACAGTGAGATTACTGGACACTGCAACCGTGGGGGAGCGAGTTATGTGCAGGTCCGACGAAAGGGAAATATCTGAAAAGTCGGCCAGAGTCCGCGTTTGAACAAAACTAAAACTCCGTGTACAATGAACACCTCGTCTCCCTATATCATGCGTGTCGGAGCTCCTTCCCACGGGTAAAGTGGCCAGGGCGTTAAGCTGACCATTCATGTCCATCTGACGCACAGGCGAAAAACACTTCCACTTCCTATTCGTCTTCATGGCGTGGTGCGTAATTAATTAAGCACCGGGACAACTTCAACTTTACCTCCATAATGGAAAGCATCTTTCTGTACTGACTCAGGTTAATACTACTCTTACAGGAACGTTTGGCAACAATGGCTCACTGGATGGATATTACGGTAACAGCGGCAACAGCGCTTCCAACCCCAGATATAACACGTCATCAGTTATCAACAGTCGAGCCTGGAAATCCATTGCATCAACAAGAAGGCCTGTTACACAGGCTGACGTCAACAAACTGCGTCAGGCCGCAACAGTCAGCTGCAGCAAAGAAACATTTGTAACTCAAACGAACTGCAATCCTTCAATAACCAATACTCCATGTCTGTTTAATATCCATGAAGATCCCTGCGAGCAGAATAATCTGTCAGGTAGCAGTACTGACATTGTTACAGCAATGTACAATATTCTTGTGCGCCACAGACAGAGCCTGATCCCGCAGCTGAATCGGCCTTGGGACATAAGTGGTGCAGACCCCGCAAGATTCAACAGCACATGGAGCTCCTGGCTGGACTGAGTGAGGAGGCACCCACAGAAGTCTGCACATTGAACTGCTGAATTCATGTCGGGTCTTTCCCGTGTTCCAATTTGTATTCAGCACTGCCACGTGACGCAAGAGAAAGCTCACTGAAGCGGCTTATGAAAGACTGTCAAAGAGATAATCCAAATATAAATTGGGTTCTTGATCTATATCTGTACATCCCACGTTTGCTACATCTCATCTATGTTAAAATCTAGGAATAAAAGGAGCCTGCTCCTCTGGAAAACGAAATCGTGTGGTCCGCAAATGTTCACCGAAGTTTTGGAATCACATACAGGTTCAATCTTCAGTGTCGAGGAGTAAGCTAAGCAAGAAAACAGCAATAAACAAGCATCAAGCACAACAGATATTTGCGTATTCTTCAGCCCTGAAGATGGAGGCATTATATTTCTCCGTAACATCAATGAGTTTCTACAGGCCACACGGCTTCATATCCAAAATATAGTAAATCTTGGTAATTAAGGCTGTGACAACCTCAAATCCTAGCTACTGTCTTTCAAGGGATAAAAAAAATAGCTGATGTTCCTTATTTAAAAAAATAAAAAGGACGCTTATGAAATCACCTTCCTGTCTGTGTATCTATGTGTTCCCATAATTTCCTAGTTTTCTATGCGGTCCGTGAATTTGACTCGGATAATGTTTCCTACAATTCAGTCCAGAAAATTTGTCTTCTCGTCTGCTGTCTGGAAATATAAAAATTAGAATGAAGTATTGTTAGGGTGTGAAACTTTGTCTCTGACATTAAGGGAGGAACATAGACTGAAGGTGTTTGAGAACAGGGTGTTGAGGAGAATATTTGGACCGAAGAGGGATGAAGTGACGGGAGGTTGGAGAAAACTGCATAATGAGGAGCTTCATAACTTGTACTCTTCTCCAAGTATAATTAGAAGGATCAAGTCAAGGGGGGTGATATGAACAGGGCATGTAGCACGAATGGAGAGAAGAGGAATGCATATAGGGTATTGGTGGGAAAGCCAAAAGGAAAGATATCACTGGGAAGACCAAAGTGTAAGTGGGTGGACAATATTAAAAAGTATCTTACAGAGATAAGATGGGATGGGATGGATTACATTGATCTGACTCAGGATAAGGAGCAGTGGAGGGCTCTTGTGAACACGGTAATGAACATTCGGGTTCCATAAAATGTTGGGAAGTTCTTGAGTAGCTGCACAATTGGCAGCTTCTCAAGAAGGGCTCAGATCCATGAGTGAATGAGTGATGCGGTCCGTGATGTATGAAAGGAAAATAGGAGATCAGTCCTTCCCAGAACTTCTTGTGAATATTTTCTTATTTATATTTTTAAAAAGATTATGAGAGGACAAAATATCAACTGAATTGTAACAATAATTTCAGGAATTCAATCTCATTTAACTTTTCAAATAAATTTTCGTTCGTTACTTTTATTCCGAAACGTCTGACATTTGCCTCATTTTCGAAGAATTCAACACTTAATTCTATGCCGTTGTTTTGTCCTGAATTCTGGTGACGAGACGTGAAATTACGACATTCACTTCCCTTTTCCTCGCTTATAGATCGACCTCTTTTACCAGCGGTCAATGGAGTTTATTTACTTTCATGGAATTCATTTCTTCACCTCTTAAATTAACATAGTCTTCTACACAGTGAATTCGTTCTCCCGACGCGTTTCGTGAGAGTCATGCCCTGCCCGGGTGCCTGCCTGACGCGATAAAGCTTGTTGCCAACTTGAAGAAATTAAATGGAAGTAGAGTACGTGACAATAATTCTACACTGTAGCATCTTATTGCGTTGTAATTTAGTTGGCACTGTCACGTGGAGGTGGTACGCCCGACGGAAATGGCGGGTTCTAGTTCGGATTTATTAGCACCTTGGGTACACACTCTCTCTCTTAATTACAATTAAATACAGCGCTAGCGGCCGCGCCATAGCTCAAGCGGTTAGTAGCTAGCTTTCCACCGCGGCTGCCCGGGTTCGATCCCGGGTCTGGTCAAGTGGGATTTGTGGTAGACAAAGTGGCGCTGGGGCGGGTTTTCTCCGAGTACATACTTTGGTTTCTCCTGCCAATATTCATTCCACCAAATTCTCCATCATCATAATCACCCGGGGCAGGCTACGATAGGCCAATCAGTGGCCGCCGTACTCCACCCCCCACTAAGCGAATTAAAAAAAATTAAATACAGCGCTATCGCTGATTTACACAAACTGGCCCTCTCCTGGTACACAACTAAAACGCAGGAACTGTAGCAGTCTCACTGACTAAATCTGCTAATCACACACCAAGTCTTCACAAGCCGACTTCTTATTCTTCTTCCACGCCGAACCTTCCGCGAAACGCTGCGTTGCCTGGCAACAGACTTCCTATAGCTCCGTGCTTTTGCTCGGCACGCACCGCACGGACCGCACTTTCCCTTCTATTGTTGCCTCTCTTCGTGTTTGCAGAGCTGTTGCCTGGCAACGCGTTGATCAAATTCGTTACAGTATCATGTTCCCCGCAGCCTTGTTTACGTAGTACTTAAGTGGCGTTGTTTGACTTCGTGATTCTGTTAGTCACAAGGTAATCACTTTTACACTGGACTCTGCGATGTTTGTAGCACATGTTTCCATCATTAAACGATCTCCAGGTGGATACATTTGTTGTTCTCTTTCGTAATCTGATATGCTATGTAGCGCATTGTCATTAACACTGTCACATGATAGAGCGACAGTAGGCGGGGTTTGGATTGGTAATTGGATTTATTGAAGACTTACAGATCGTAAGTTCACTACGTCCGCTGTGTCTTCACCGGTCGTTGTCTGGTAACGGCTTTCAAAGCCCTAGATTCCTCCACTTTCGTGTTCACGGCTCCACGTCCTCTCTCACTATGACCTGTCTCACTTCAGCTCCCGAACTGAAGTAATTGGCTTCATACTGCCGAAATCTCTACTAATTCAAGTCTAGTCGAGTCTTATATTACGACCGACGGTCCGTCGGCCAGTCTGTCTTGGAATAAACCACCCATTTGGGGTTTACGACCAGATTTTTTTACTGTCAGACAGTTGCAGGTTTCTTTCTCTGACGAAAGGACGGGTCTGTCGTTTATAACTGCTGTTGGCCCTCGCCAACGCAGTCATTCTCGGGTCCGAATCCCGTGGGACTCCTGACCATATTTTACTGTCTCCGATTGGAGACTTCCTTTTTCGTCGCCTCCTACGACTCGCAGGGTCACGGTGGAGGTATTCGACCCCGCCTCCACACGGTAGAACTAACTCAACGCAAAATGAACTCGTTATGTAGTCCCGCGTGCGGTCCGCATAGAAAACACATCTCCCAGCAGTTCTTTCATTGTTCCATCACTTGACTACGGCTCGAACCCCGTAGAGAACACAATTCCTCTCTTGCTGTTCACGGCCATTAACTAACAATGACCGTTGTTTGTAGATTCATTACTTAGCAACGTGTCTACGTGCTACAATACGAATTGCTAACAAAGCCATTATCTTTCATTCTTTTTCCTTCTTCACGTTGATGGGTTAGTCTGTCTGACCTTCTTCATTACAGTCAGTCGGTAGGGCTCTTTGGACTGGGCAGCAGCGCGTGGCAAACACAGGACAACACGAACAGAGAACAAAGGCAGACAGACATCCATGCCTCGAGTGGAACTCGAGCCAACGATTCTAGCTTTTGAGCAAGCGAAGGAATTTTATGCCTTAGACCGCGCGGTCCCTGTGATCAGACCTTCTATTTTAATTTGCATGTGGGTCCACTCAGCCTCGTGATGATAATTGGGGAGCTATTTTAAAGAAATATCGGTTTCGGTCTAGAAAACCGAAATTAACGGCCGTGGGGATTCGTTGTACTGACCACGCTACACCTTCTATCCGCAAAAATTATTTAATAATTAATAATAAAATATTTTGCATTCTTGCCAGTCAGATCATAAAACAACAATGAACATAAAGCGAGTCACACATGAGAATAAAATAAATGCGATTAAATAAATTTGTGCATCTCTATACTATGAAACAAAGCGCCGTAACCTTCATCGCGCTACGGGGATCAAGGGACCGTGAGGATGGAAAGTTGCATACTCGCAGCTTCTGCCTATGTGACAGATAAGTGTGCCAAATCGATAGACGTATACATATCGATATAAAGATATAGATATCAATATGGACTCCTATATCGATTGTTATCCCATAGTTATAACCATGAAAAGTGGATTGATTTTCTTGCGACGTTCAAACACGAGGATTTCTGCTAGAAACATAATTAGCGTTAGAATTCGTTAAGTGAGTTTCAGCTCAGTGAACCGGACTGAAATGAGAACAGTCGATGCACTTTCAGTCAGTGATCTGAGTGTCTGTCTGCAGAAACTGCGTCCGCAGACCGTCACGGACAGCAACGTGCTGAAGCGGTCTGACATGCGCTCATCCGTTATGCTCTCAACGTTGCATTCGCACAATAACGAAAAGTTCTGTAGCTACATGCAACCTTTCCCGAAACTGCGGTTTGCCTCTAGCGGATGTCTAGAACCCCGCTGGCCGCATCCTGTGACGTCATTACAATACTTCCGTTCCGTTCCGGAGAACATACCCCGTATCTACGTCTCTGAACACTGAGAAAATTAAACATAAAATGTGTACGTAGTCCGGATATCCTCATTACGTAATTCTCCAAACTTCAGTGTAATAGTTCTATTCCAGCCAGTGTTCAACGGGCTACTGCAAGTCCGTAAAATTACAGTTATGTTAAAAAACAAACTCCTTGGCCTGTAGTCCACAAGTGATCTATACCGACCGAGCGACCGCCGCATGTCGGCGAAGTTAGTGCCAACTTATGCGGATAGAGGGTGTCATGTGATCAGCGCAACGGATCCCCACGGCCGTTAATTTCAGTTTTCTAGACCGCTATTTCCTTGAAATAGCTCCTCAGTAATCCTCACGAGACTGAGTGGACCCCGCCCCACACCCACTACTTCTCAGAAAATATAGTAGCGCCAGGAATTGAACCCGGACCTCCGGATCTGTAGCCAGGAACTCTGACCACTAGACCACAGAGACAGTTATGTTATTGTAAGAAAATATTGCACATCGCTTAGTATTTAGCATCTTAGTAGCATAGTTCAGGCGGTTAGACGCCGGCTCACCACCCTCACTGTTCGGGTTCGATTCCACATCAGGGCACATGAGTGTTTTACTACACTACGTGACAGGTGTGTCCTAGTACTTTGCTTCTCCTGCCAGGTCTCATACCAACAACTGTTCCGAGATCATTAATCATCGAGTCACTGACGCTACAGTCACTTGATACTGAGTGTCATTATATAACATCTTAAAGAGAATTCCTGCAATTCTGTGTCTCAGAGACTTTCTTCACTAGCCAAGGATCGCTTACAGAAAAGGGTTGTGTGACGGTAATTTTCTAGGTTTGTTTTCGGAACGTGCTCAGTTAGAATATCGGGAGGAACACTGACTACCCTGACTTTATACTTTTTGTGGAGTTCCTCGGTTTGTCCAGGCAAACGCCACAAACTTCCTTTCAAATCATTTCCAATTCATCATCATCCTATTACTCGGCAACAAAAAGTAAAGCTATCCCTGTAA